CCTTGCCGAAGTCATTGTGTCTTCACTGGGTGCCAAAGACGCCATTGTATTTTCTAGCTTGCCCCAAAGTAAAGCAACAGGGGATGGCTGGCTAACTTTTGACTTGTTTCAGCGCCTATTTAGCACCCAGCTCAGATGTTTATCACGTGCCGCCGCAAAGGAGGATTCCCCTAAGTGTCGTTTGGAGCACCGTGCGCCAAGGACGGTTTTCATTTCACACCTGATTTCATACTCAGTTGGTGTGCTTGCAATGCTTTGGGGCCATAATTTCAGTGGCAACCCAAAAACCGGGGTAGACTTCGGATATCCATTTTCCATTTTACCAGTGACTCAAAGTGAAGCAAACAATAACATATCCTATGACTGTGCCTAAGTCCACTAATAACAAGTCTTGACTTTTCTGGCCAATGCATGCAAGTGAGCATAAGCCGTGGCCAAGCCAACAGAAGCGATGGCTGCGTGAACGTTATCTGAATCAGGGGCGCATATGACGGAATCAGGTGCCCTAATCAGGGGCGCGAATCACGGCCGCAGGGCGGTCGAATCAGGCGCAGGATTTGGTGAAATCAGGGTCCGCTTCGGGTCAGTTTCAGGCAGGTGGCCCGCAGGTCGCCAAGCTTGGCTTACCCGATGTTTTTTTGCTGGCAAAATGGCGTTCAGCCCAAAAAAATGCACGTTAGCGCGGACATACCGAGAAAATGACAGGGACATGAAGGGGGAGTTGAAAGGAATGGAAGGGACATGACCAGGAGCCTGAGTACGAAGAAAGACTTTACACAAGAGAGTGCTCTCTCTCATTAAAGGAGGTGCAACGTTACCGAAAACTGCTCGTTCGCGCGTCCCTGCAAGCTGACCTGAGGCGGCCCAGGCTGGCCGAAGCATGCAGGTGGCCCGCGGGCCACGAAGCTTTGCCCTGCGCAGTCTCTTTCTACCGCGGGCCACCTGCGTGCTTCGCACAGCCCCGGGCCGCCTCAGCTAAGCTCGCCCCTATACAAGCAGCCTACATGAGCAGTTGTGCCTCAGCTCGCACAAGCTGCGTGGCCCGCGGTGGAAAAAGACTGCGCAGGGCAAAGCTTCGTGGCCCGCGGGCCACCTGCGTGCTTCGGCCAGCCCCGGGCCGCCTCAGCTAAGCTCGCCCCTATACAAGCAGCTTCGCAAGACAGCAGGGCAAAGCTGTCGCACAAGCACTAACGGACAGTTTTTGCACGAAGCTCGCCCCTGCAAGCCGTGTCGCAAGAGAAAGACAGCGCAGGGCAAAGCTTCGTGGCCCGCGGGCCATGCTGCTTCGGCCAGCCCCGGGCCGCCTCAGCTAAGCTCGCCCCTATACAAGCAGCTTCGCAAGACAGCAAGGCAAAGCTGTCGCACAAGCACTAACGGACAGTTTTTTGCACGAAACTCGCCCCTGCAAGCCGTGTCGCAAGAGAAAGACAGCGCAGGGCAAAGCTTCGTGGCCCGCGGGCCACCTGCGTGCTTCGCACAGCCCCGGGCCGCCTCAGCTAAACTCGCCCGCATGCAAACATGCCATGAGCAGTTTGTGCTCCAGCTCGCACAAACGCGTGGCCCATAATGAAAAGACTTGCGCAGACAAAGCACCGTGGCCCGCGGGCCACGCGGCATCTTCAGCCAGCCCCGGGCCGCCTCCAGCTAAGCTCCTTCCTGTTAACCCAGCTTCCGCCAAGACAGCAGGGCAAAGCGCATGCACAAGCATAACGGATTTTTTTTGCACTGGCTCGCCCATGCAAGCCGTCGTAGGAAGACAAAGACAGCGCAGGGCAAAGCTTCGTGGCCCGCGGGCCACCTGCGTGCTTCGGCCAGCCCCGGGCCGCCTCAGCTAAGCTCGCCCCTATACAAGCAGCTTCGCAAGACAGCAGGGCAAAGCTGTCGCACAAGCACTAACGGACAGCTTTTTGCACGAAGCTCGCCCCTGCAAGCCGTGTCGCAAGAGAAAGACAGCGCAGGGCAAAGCTTCGTGGCCCGCGGGCCACCTGCGTGCTTCACTTACAGCCAGGCCGCACTCAGCTAAGCTCCCTTCACAGCCACAAGCAGCCCCGCCATGAGCGATTTGTGCACTCAGCTCGCACAAGCGCAAGTAGCCCGCAGTAAAAAGACTTACGCAGGGCAAAGCTTAAGTGGCCCGCGGGCCACCTGTATGCTTCGGCCAGCCCCGGGCCGCCTCAGCTAAGCTCGCCCCTATACAAGCAGCTTCGCAAGACAGCAGGGCAAAGCTGTCGCACAAGCACTAACGGACAGTTTTGCACGAAGCTCGCCCCTGCAAGCCGTGTCGGAAGAGAAAGACAGCGCAGGGCAAAGCTTCGTGGCCCGCGGGCCCCCTGTATGCTTCGGCCAGCCCCGGGCCGCCTCAGCTAAGCTCGCCCCTATACAAGCAGCTTCGCAAGACAGCAGGGCAAAGCCGTCGCACAAGCACTAACGGACAGTTTTTTGCACGAAGCTCGCCCCTGCAAGCCGTGTCGCAAGAGAAAGACAGCGCAGGGCAAAGCTT